TGCAGAAAGTTTAGGGGAAAGAGAGCAAAAAACCCAACAAACCTCTCTTGAAGAATTTGCTGAAAGAGCAGGGGCAAGTAGGGTAGTGGCCAAGGCGGGAAGTGGAATCAAGAGAGAAATTTTTTAAAAAATTTATTCATTTGAGAGAGAGAGAGAGAGAGCATGAGCAGGGGGAGCAGCAGGCAGAGGGAGAGGGAGAAGCAGACTCGCCGCTGAGCAGGGAGCCCGACTTGGGGCTCAATCCCAGGACCCTGGGACCATGACCTGAGCCAAAAGTGGATGCTTAACCAACTGAGCCACCCAGGTGCCTCCAGAGAGAAACTTTTAAATCACAGTAATAATGGTATGTTTGTATGCTGATGGGAAAGAGTCCATAGAAAGGGGAGAATTGGTAATGTAGAAGAGACAAAGGAGAACTAATGCAGCAATATTCCTGACTAGACACAAAGAATAGGTATTACGCATGAGAAATCAATCTGGGGGTTGTCCTTTGCCTGCTGTGTGGACAGCTCACCCAGTTACTGGAGAGAAGGTAGAATAACTGAGTAGAGGTAGAAGGTGGAGTGGGTGGTGGGAACTTCTTCCCTTTGAATGCTTCTAATTGCTCATGAAGCAGGATGCAAGGTTACCAGCTGAGAGTGATGATGGTTGGCGGAGGAGGTGACTCTAGGGCTTGAGTAGAAAGGACCAGGAAAGCAACAGTCACCCAGGAGGACAGGGGAAAGGCAAGGTGGCTGCTGGGCAGTATTGCAGGCTCACCTAAAGGATAGCAGCCACAACTTTATGCTGAGACCAAACAGAATGGTTGTGAATTTTTCTCCAACTGTGTTCATTTGTACAGATGCAGAGGGAAAATGGGCAGAGATTTGGTTTAGGATTGTGCTCAGTCGTTGACAGTTCACTTTGGTCTGGCTCCCTTTCTCCTTCCATTTCCTTCTCTTGGTGGTTAAAATTAAGGGCATATAAAAGAGTGCACACCACCTGGGTCAGACAGCAGTGGGACTGAGAACTGGGTATGGATAATCCACAGGCTGGCTGCATCAGTCAGGGTTTGGTGAGGAAAATAGCACCTGTTGGGCAGTTCAACAGAGGGAGTTTAAAACAGGGAACTTGTTACAAAGGTGTTGAAAGAGCTAAAAAGGCAGACAGGTTAGTTAGGACGGTCTAGCAGGACCTGGAAGCGTGGAGACACAGCCATTTCTTGAGTTGCCTTTCAAAGCAAAGAGAAGGGGCGAACTACCCTAACTTCTTGCTACTTCCCATCTTCCAGTGTGCCACCAGGGCCTCTCAAAGATAGGTGACAAAGTAGCCTTGGGGAATGCAGGTTGTAGGCACTGGCCCTGCACAATCTAAGGCAGAGTACGGGAGGAGTAGGGATCCGAGAGCCATCAAGCAAATGACTGGCACACGGAGTGGCCACAAATTGACTTAATGAGAACAAGAAGATATCAGACCTGGAAGGAACTTAGACATCACCTCACCTGTCCTTCCATTTGTATAGAGCAAGGAAAAGACCCAGAAAGCAATGATGTGCTAAACAGTAGCAGAGTTGAGGCTTAGAAGCCAGATCTTTGATGTCAAAGAGCATTGTTTTTTACTTGGACCCTAGAATTCTTTGGATTGGAGCAGATCTGCTCCCTTGAATGGGTCCTGAAGTGCTGCCTCTTCACCATCACTGCCGCTCCTGGATCCACATCACATGTGACCCGAGGTCCTGATCGCCTTCTTCCTGCTGGTGCCACTGTAGAGGGACGCCTGGAGGACTGGGCATTACCGAAATCATCTGGGTTCAAGCCTGATGAAGAGGCAGGCAGGGCATGGGACTTTCCTCCACGTAGGCAGGCAATTGCTCTAAGACTCCTTGGGCTTTTGGGTCTCACTAAGCTGTCTTTCCACGGCTTTGAGCATGGCCTAATAGCATAATTTGCTACAATGCTCACTGTGGGCAATGGCAGATGATGGGGTTGGTGGTATACTGTGACTTAGAGCTCTGGCTCCTTACGTGAGACCTTTGATGAATGACTTAGCTCTGCAGTTCCAGGAAAGCCTTCGGGGCCCTTTCTGTAAGAGCTGGTATGAGCTACCAGAGTTTCCTGCCTTCTTGAATTGGTTATTCTTACACTTGCATTATTCACTCTTTGGTTCTCTTGACACTTGACTCAGGAACCTGGAAAAAACATATCCTCTGCTTTTTTTGTTTGTTTGTTTTTAAGATTTATTTATTTATTTGACAGAGAGAGAGAGAGAGAGCACAATGAGGGACAGCGGAGGGAGAAGCAGGCTCCCTGCTGAGCAGGGAGCCCAGTGTGGGGCTCGATCCCAGGACCCTGGGATCATGACCTGAGCCAAAGGTAGACGCTTAAATTACTGAGCCACCCAGGGGCCCCTATCCTCTGCTTTAAGCAGAATAAACTGCCACATTTGCCTGAATGGCCAGTTGGATTCCACTCCATCTATGTTTACAGTAGTTGCATTCCAGATGAATTTTTTTTTTAAGTGTGCAGGCAGCAACTCCCCGTTTCTGCCTAGAAAGCTGTAATAGTTGACCTCCTGGAGAGGAGAGGCATTTATCAAAGCCCCAGAGCCTAGAGAAGTGTTCCAGCAGCTGATAACCTTATTTCCCTTACCAATATCCCTGCCTGTCCTCCTGGCCTTACCCAGTCAAGCCTGACATTCCCAGCCCTGCTGTGGGGTCTTGCCTGAGAGCTTCCCACCTCTGTAGATTTTCACCCTGTGCCAGGATGGGGGCCCCAGCTCCTGGAACCTCAGCCTCGTCCTGAACTTGAATTCTTCACTTCCCAGGATAAGGGTTTGGATATGGACTCTTCCTTCGTCTGCCCATCCTCCTCTCAAATGGAGACAGTGGTTGCCAGCTACTCACCAAACCCTTTTCCCTTTCTTCCCCAACATGTAGTTAGACCATATTTTCCAACCAACCTCCCTTTGTTGCTTAGTGGGGTCTCATGACTGAGTTTTGGTCAACGGAAATACTTTGAGGCTTGGTCCCCATACACCTCTCTTGTGATTGTCTCTTTTCTCATCTGGCAACTGGATATCAACATCCAGGATGATTTTGGAAGTCATGTGTTAAAGATGGCAGAGCTTTTGTCAGCCAGATTCCTGAGTGACTCCTAGACACCAACAACTGGACTTTATGTCTGTTCTGTTTAAAATATGGCTTACACCTTGGAGATGTAAAGGTTTACCTGTCTCAGTATTTGGCTTTACCACATCTAATAATAAAATCCTTTGTGATATGCCCCCTTGGAGTTCTCATTCTTTGGTAAAACTTCTCAAGTCCTTGACCTCTTCCTGCGCATCCTCTGCACCCACTTAGTTTTGATGGCATCCTGCCTGTCCCGAGCTGCTCAGTTTCCCACTTCTCTCCTCTGCTCAGAGGAGGCTCTGGCTTCTCCCAGATGACGACTGCCTCCTCCAGTCTCTATTCTTCTCCTTCATGTCAGACCACTCCTCCTCAAAAATGTGCGCTAGCCATGTTCTTTTTTCTCCTTTACCACAGTTTCCTTGCCTGATTTAGTGCCATCATCCCGTAGTCCTGCTAGCTGGCTCACGCCTTCCCCTCACCCCAGGTCAGTATACTCCAGACCCCCATTTTCCACCAGCAGTTGGGCCTTCTGCATGCCTCGGCCCACATGTACCGGGTTGGTTTGTTCTGATCCCCCAGTGGCCTATGGCAATCATTGCCCTTCTTCCAGACCTCTCTCCCCACTGAGGGCCTTGCCTCCTGTTTCACTGAGGGTGCTGAAGTCCTCTGGCATGAATCTCCTCAACCTCCCATCCTGCTATGCACTCCCCCTTCTACTCCTTCCTTTTTTGGTATCAGAGTCACTGATGCTGTCTCCACCAGTGCTCTTGATCCATCTCTGAGACCAGATAGCTGTTCTGCTGGGTGACACCTCTCTCTCCCTGCTAGAGTTTCAGCCTCTCTCCACTGGCTCCTTCCAAAGCAATTTATAAATATAGTCAACCCTCTTTCCTTAAATAACATCATCAATAACAACAACATTCCTAGAAAGAATCATCTAGATTCACTTTGTCAGTCCCGTCCATTTTTTCATTCACCATAATCTGGATTTTGCTCCCACCCGGCAAAGAAGACCCTCACCTTCCTCGTTGCCAAAGGCAAAGGCCTGTTTTTAGTCCCCATCTGTCTTGCCTTACCTTTCACATTTGACACTGTTGACCTCTCCCTCTTCAGAATAGTCACTCCTGTCCTATCCTTGGTCTCTGGTGGCTTTTGTCCATTGCCCAACTGCAAGTTCTATCTATGACCCCTTCCCTAGCCTTCATTTTTCTCCCTTCCCCTCCTTTCACTCTATACTTCCCTCCCAGGAGTTCCATGTCCGTTTTTACATCGATGATTTACAGACTGAGGCAGTTGTTCATCCGTCTCAAGCTCCAGACCACAATATCCAGGCTCTGCTGGTGCTCACCATGTGGCTGAAGTGCCATGGGCACTTCAAGCTCAGTGCGTGGGAAACGAAACTCATTATCCACCCCCACCTCAAACCTGCTCCTCCGCATTCCTGGTAATGCCACCCACAAATCCTAGGTCAAAAGCCTGGAGGCATCCTGGAAGACTCTTCACAAATCCACTACTTATAATTAGTGGCAAAGTCCCAAGCTCTTTTGTTTATAACATGTTCCATCTTTCATCTCCAAAGCTCTGATCAATGGCAGGCCCTTACTATCTCTAGCTGGGGGCTGTGCAGGGGTCTCCTAACCAGGGTTCCCACCTTCAGGCTTGCTGACCCTCCCTTTACTGCCACCAGAGTCATCTTTCTAAGAAACAAAACTTTATGTCACCCCCCCTCCCAGGCTATACTCTTTAAAGTCTTTCCTCACTGTGTGCTTGGTGCCTCACCCAGGGCCCGGCACCTGCAGGTGCTCAGGAGATCTCTTGGTGCTGACTGGGGAAGTGGGTGTGTGGGAGGTGCTGTCAGGATTCTGATTTCCTGCTACAGAAGGGTCTTAGCCTGAGAATGAGGCCACGAATCTATTTATTCAGAGGAAAGTGGCCTCTCCTTCCCGTCACCAGTCACTTCCTGGGGACCCCTCCTTGCCGTGCAGTGGGTCCCAAGCGAGCTGGGCAGTCAGCAGGAAGGCACAGTAACTGTTACTGGGATGACTCCTCTTCCAGCTGCAGCTGCAGGAAAACACCTGCAGAGAAGAGGACAAGCTGAGTGTCAGGAGCTGGTTGGGGTGCTCTGAACATTTGCATCCTGTCACCTGGTGCCCAATCCTGCCCTTGTGGAACAGGTCAGGCCACTCCTACATAGAAAAGAATCCTAGCCAGGTGCTCTTTCATTGGAGTCTACAGCAGGTGCCCGGTCCCACTCTAAAAAGCTGGATCCCAGCTTGGGAGCGCATCCTCGGCATTCTTCCTTCCATTGGTCCTGAGGGTGATGGTGGCAGGACAGAGTCTGGTGCTGAGGCTGAGAACCTCTTTACCTGAGCACTTAGCATAGACTGTCTGCTGGTCCCTGCTCTGGGCGATGCACGACATGTAAACCTTCTGGTCCTCGATCTTTTCCACGTCAACTTTCAGTACAGCCAGAGAGCCCACAGGAATCAAGCTGGAAGAGGAGGTGGCTTAGTTCATCCCTCATATGAATCCCTGGCCGCCATCCCTTCACCCCTCTGTTTCTCCAGCCTTCTCTTCATCCCACTCTGCCTGAAGGAATAAGTGGCTCAGGGCTCGTGGCCCACTTGCAGACTTCCAGAGTCTGATGTCAGAGGCTGTGCTCTGGCCCGGAGTAGAGGAACAGCTGAGCAGCAGCTGGGGAAGGAGGGCGGCAGACAGGGCTTCCGCACCCAACCCCTGAGCATGGCCACTCCTCAGTGATAAAAAGGCCATGACTTTGGCCAACGCCCCAAGGATCCATACTTACTTTTTGAACCTGATGTTGAGGCTTACTGTGAATAGCCCCTCTCCAGCCAGGTAAGCAGTTTTAGAGAAGGTCTCGTCCATCATGGCAGCCAGGGACCCTCCATGAGCAAACCTGGGGATGGGGTGGGGCAGGAACAAGGCCAGGGCTGCAAGCTTCCCTGACACCCACCCTGATCCTGATGCGGAGCCACCCTGCCTCTATCTTTCTACGGGAGAAGAAAGGAAGCAGAGCAGGATCCCAGCTGATCAAACTGGTCCAAATCACTTCAGCTTTTCTCCCATGTTGCTTCAGCAGCATGAGCAACCCCTGACATAATTATTTTATTTTGCCAGGAAAAATGTGAGATTTTTTTTTTCTTTTCTGATAAAGTTAATGGAAAGGGGTGCCTGGGTGGCTCAGATGGTTAAGCGTCTGCCTTTGGCTAGGGTCATGATCCCAGGGTCCTCGGATTGAGCCCCACGTCGGGCTCCTGGCTCAGTGGGGAGCCTGCTTCTCCCTCTGCCTCTCCCTCTGCTCGTGCTCTCTCTCTCTGTATCTCTGTGTCTGGAATGAATAAATAAAATCTTTTAAAAAAATTAATGGAAAAACATTTTTTTTTCCTGATTCATCACCTAATTGCTGGCAGCAACTGCCATCATTTGGAAAGGTGTGCTCATACAAGGGATGGAAAAGCCCCTGTGCTTTTCGGCTTGGGCTCTGAGGCATGGCCTTGGGCCAGCTCCCACCTTACCCATCGCTATAGCTGGGGCCGAGCCCACATTTTCAAGATAGGTAAATGTGAACCGTAACTTATGCCCTCTCCAGTGCCAACAGGACGGCCTCCTGAGCAGTGCTGCCTGCAGAAAGCCCAGGGCCCCCTTCAGCAGGATGCTGCAAACACCTGCTTTACTTAGAGTCAGTGGAATTCTCAAGGTCACTTGTGTAAACTGACCGTCATGCCAAAGCTACTTCACTGTTGGTGAAGTTGGGGAAAATAGAAGGACGCCCAAATCTAGAATGCAGATAACACAAAACAGATTCAAGGTTCTGATTTTCAAAAGCATGATTCTCCAGGGACCAGGCCAGCTGCCCCACTGTGCTAGCATGGATTACCCTCTTGTTCCCACCACCAGGAGGGGAAAGAGCCAGGAGCCATGGAACCGCACCAACCTGGTTCGACTCCATGATCCTGTCTGATCTTGAGCAAGTTGCTAAGTTGCTAAGCTTTTCTGAGCCTAAGTTTTTCCACTATGAATTCTGAATAAAAATAATTCCTATTTCATCAGATTACATGAGGTAATGTTTATAAAACCCCCTCCTTCCACATTGCTTGAAAGAGGGAAGAAGAAGTTGGTGCCAAAGAACCCCAAACCTGCTCTTCCCTTGTTATCCTCATTGGCCAGACAGGGGACCCATTGGCAAGTGTGTGGATTCTGCAGGATAGCTCTTGGCCAGCCAGCAACCTATTTCTCCTCATCGCCTAGAGCTGGGTGGATACTTGTGACAAGATAGAACATATGTATTGGTCTCTGGCCTGGATTCAACACAGCGCTGTTGGAATCCTCGTAATTTCCTGGGTGATGGGAGTGTCTTGTTCTACTGAGGTGACTCTGGGTAGGCTCCTGAATGGCTCCTGGATGGGGGCTGGTCCCCAGAAAGAGGAAACCATGATTAGAAGCTTCTAGAGAAAGAAGAAGGGCTGGAAATGGAGTATGTGATGGATCATGCCTGCGTGAGGAAGCGTCCATAAAATCCCAAAGGTTCAGAGAGCTTCCAGGCTGGCAAACACAGGCCCAGTGGGAGGGTGATGCACTCTGACCCCACAGGGACAGAAAGGCCTGTGTGTGCTTGGGATACTCCCAGACCTCGCTGTATGCATGTCTTCATCTGGCTGTTCTTCTGTATCCTTTAATGAACTGGTAAATATAAGTGTTTCCCTGAGTTCTGGAAACCTCTCTAGCAAAGTAATTGAACATCAGGAGGGGTTTGTGAGAACCTCTGATTTGCAACTGTAGGGGCCAAGGCAAGCTGTCCCAAGATGGGCCAATCTGGCGTGAATATTATTTTGAGCTGAAGGCAATCAAGACCCTGTGGGCTCAAGAGAAACTTTTGCCCCTCCCTTCACTACATAGAAGAATTTAAATTGGGGGTCTTTCCCAGAATAAAGGTTATTACCAGAGAAAAATTTTACCTGAGTGACCCATCTGTATGGCAGGGCAAGCAGCTAATTACCAAGCATCTGCTCTTCTTCTTATGACCCCGTGAAGTGCATTCCTTCCCTTCAAAGTCCCAGACCTCTGTCCCCTGCTCCTTAGTTCAGGACGACATATAGTTTTCATTTTGCCTGTCTTTAGAATTTCCATGTCTGTGTGGATTGCCTGTATGTACACTATTAAATTTGACTTTCTCCTGTTAATCTGTCCCATGTCAATTTGATTCTTAGTCCAGCTGGAAGGACCCTTGAAGGGGACAGGAATTTCTTGCTTCCTAACATAGCCAAGTCAGACAGAAGTTGTGGGAACCTGGTGGCCTGCTACTTGCTCTTGGCATCTGAAGTGGGGTCAGTCTCATGGACTGAGCCCTTACCCTGTGGGATCTGATGCTGTCTCCAGGTAGATGGTGTCAGAATGGAGTTAAATTGTAGGACACCCAGTTGGTGTCACAGAATTGCCTCATGTGGAGAAAAGCCTCTCCCCATTTGGTGATCAGAACTATCAGAAGTAAAGGTCCTGTGTGAGTAGTAAAGGAGACACACAGGAGAGAAAGACATAGTAGTTGAGAACTGGTATTTTTCCCTACACAGTAGATAGACTGAAC